CCCCGTGGCGCCATTGGCTAGCGCGATCGGCTGTTAACCGAAAAGTTGAAGGTTCGAGCCTTCCCGGGTGGGGTGTGTTGCTTTTTTCTTTGCGCTGATAGCTTTGAAGATATGTTCTGATGGTGGTGAGCGTGGAGCACTATTGTCTCCGTGGCGCAATTGGCTAGCGCGATCGGCTGTTAACCGAAAGGTTGGAGGTTCGAGCCCACCCGGTGGTGGTGCGCGCTTCTTTTTCTTTGCGCTCATAGCTTTGAAGATATGTTCTGATGATGGTGAGAGTGGAGCAAGACTGCCTCCGTGGCGCAATGGGCTAGCGCGATCGGCTGTTAACCGAAAGGTTAAAGTTTTGAGCCCTCCCGGGAGTGGTGTGTTGCTTTTTTCTTTGCGGTAATAGCTTTGAAGATATGTTCTGATGGTGGTGAGAGTGGAGCAGGACTGTCTTCGTGGCGCAATTGGCTAGCGCGATCGGCTGTTAACCGAAAGGTTGGAGGTTCGAGCCCAACCGGTGGTGGTGCGGCGCTTTTTTTTTCTTTGGGGTGATAGCTCTGAAGAAATGTTCTGACGGTGGTGAGAGTGGAGCACGACTGTCTCCGTGGGGCAATTGGCTAGCGCGATCGGCTGTTAACCGAAAGGTTGGAGGTTCGAGCCCACCCGGTGGTGGTGCGGCGCTTTTTTTTTCTTTGGGCTGATAGCTCTGAAGAAATGTTCTGACGGTGGTGAGAGTGGAGCAGGACTGTCTCCGTGGCGCAATTGGCTAGCGCGATCGGCTGTTACCGAAAGTTGGAGGTTTCGAGCCCTCCCGGGAGTGGTGTGTTGCTTTTTTCTTTGCGCTGATAGCTTTGAAGATATGTTCTGATGGTGGTGAGAGTGGAGCACGACTGTCTCCGTGGCGCAATGGCTAGCGCGATCGGCTGTTAACCGAAAGGTTGGAGGTTCGAGCCCACCCGGTGGTGGTGCAGCGCTTTTTTTTCTTTGCGCTGATAGCTTTGAAGATATGTTCTGATGATGGTGAGAGTGGAGCAAGACTGCCTCCGTGGCGCAATGGGCTAGCGCGATCGGCTGTTAACCGAAAGGTTGGAGTTTCGAGCCCTCCCGGGAGTGGTGTGTTGCTTTTTCTTTGCGGTATAGCTTTGAAGATATGTTCTGATGGTGGTGAGAGTGGAGCAGGACTGTCTTCGTGGCGCAATTGGCTAGCGCGATCGGCTGTTAACCGAAAGGTTGGAGGTTCGAGCCAACCGGTGGTGGTGCGGCGCTTTTTTTCTTTGGGGTGATAGCTTGAAGAAATGTTCTGACGGTGGTGAGAGTGGAGCACGACTGTCTCCGTGGGGCAATTGGCTAGCGCGATCGGCTGTTAACCGAAAGGTTGGAGGTCGAGCCCACCCGAGTGGTGGTGCGGCGCTTTTTTTTTCTTTGGGCTGCTAGCTTCTGAAGAAAGTTCTGACGGCTGGTTCAGAGTGCGAGCAGGACTGTACCCGTGGCGCCATTGGCTATCGCGATCGGTGCGGTGGCGACAGAGCAAGAGAAAACGAGGGCAATGGGAGAAAGACTGAAGTCCGCCGAGGAAACGCTAGCGAAGCTGAACAAAGAAGCGACCTACCGAGAGAACAGTAGGGAACCGGCAACCAGAACGGTGGAGAAGGAAGAGCAAGCACGTTTAGAAAAAACAGGTTTAGCCGGTTCAACTGTCGCAAGGCCCAGCTTCAGCGATGTAGTGGTGGGGCAGGGAGGGAACAAAGCAGCCGGCGTCACAGGTGCAAGTAGCCCCCAGGTGCAGAACGCTCCAGCTGAAAAGTCACAGCGTGTGATAATAGCCGGGGACTCGAATTTAAATCGATGCACAGAAGCCATCAAAGAGAGGGTAAGAGGTGACAAGAGGGTTGCGGTAGGGGCGTTCCCAGGACGCAAGCTGGAAGCAGTCATCAGGCAAGCGAGCGCAAAGCTCAAAACGACGGCTGATAGACGAAACCTCGTGATAATTTCAGGCGGTTTAAACGATGTCCTCAATGAAGATGCAGAAGGACTAGCAGCCACACTGGCGAAAAGCGTCGATGACATGCGCGCCACTTCTCCTAAGGTACAGGTAGTTATATGCACGATACCGGAGGTACCGGTGCGTGATAGCAACCTGCAAAGAGCGGTGGTCAACGCAAACCAAGAGATATGGCGGATGAGTCGAGAGAAAGGCTTTGAGGTGGTGGAAATAAACAGAGAGGTGCATAGGTGGGGGGGTTTTCAACGAGACAGAATTCACTTCGATGGGCGGCTAGGTCATGAGGTGGGTTGGCGACTTGCAGGACGCGCAGTAGCTTTTTTGGGGGGCAAGCGAGCCCTTCGGGGTGCAGGATAGCTAGTAACGAGGAAAACAACCAGGGAGACTTTTCGACAGGTGGTATGGACAGATACGATTCCAAAGTGGCACCAATATCTAAGATAGGTAGAGTCCGGGGCATAAATAGACGTAGCCACGAGCGCCGAGCCAATTCAGACATAGGGTATATTAACATGCAGGGTGGTAGGAACAGGCTGAAGTGGGAAGAGATAGAAGAACAGCTAAGTGAAGAGAGGCCGATGGTATACGGTTTGTAGAAACACATCTCAGGGACATGGAACAACCTCCGAACAATCCGGACTACGCGTGGGAATATTGTAATAGAACAGAAGGCAGCAGAACGGGGCGTGGTATTGGGGCATTCATTCATAAAAGTACAGACTGGCAAAGGGTCAAGCAGGAGTGCAAGGAACATTTATGGCTAAAAGGGAAAGTGGCAGGTCAAATGACACTCCTTGGTTTCGTGTACTTGTGGACGGAAGCAAAGGCCAGAGAGGAAAACCAGGCAATGGTAGAGTGTATATCAAAGGACATTCAGGAGTTAGGAAGAGAGTGCGAGATAATTATACTAGGAGACATGAATGCGCACATAGAAGATATAGATGGGTATACCGACCCGACAGGCAAAATGATCATGGATATGTGTGAAAGGCTTGATTTGATCATTTGCAGTTAACCGAAAAGTTGAAGGTTCGAGCATTCCCGGCTGGGGTGTGTTGCTTTTTTCTTTGCGCGATAGCTTTGAAGAATTGTTCTGATGGTGGTGAGGTGAGCGTGGAGCACTATTGTCTCGGTGGCGCAATTGGCTAGCGCGATCGGCCATTAACCGAAAGGTTGGAGTTTCAAGCCCACCCGGTGGTAGTGCAGCGCTTCTTTTTCTTTGCGCTCATAGCTTTGAAGATATATTCTGATGATGGTGAGAGTGGAGCAAGACTGCCTCCATGGCGCAATGGGCTAGCGCGATCGGCTGTTAACCAAAAGGTTGAAGTTTTGAGCCCTCCCGGGAGTGGTGTGTTGCTTTTTTTGCGGTAATAGCTTTGAAGATATGTTCTGATGGTGGTGAGAGTGGAGCAGGACTGTCTTCGTGGCGCAATTGGCTAGCGTGATCGGCTGTTAACCGGAATGTTGGAGGTTCGAGCCCACGCGTTGGTGGTGCGGCGCTTTTTTTTCTTTGGGCTGATAGCTTTCAAGATATGTTCTAATGGTGGTAAGAGTGGAGCAGGACATTCTCCGTGGGGCAATTGGCTAGCGCGATCGGCTGTTAACCGAAAGGTTGGAGGTTCGAGCCCACCCGGTGGTGGTGCGGCGCTTTTTTTTTCTTTGGGGTGATAGCTCTGAAGAATGGTCTGACGGTGGTGAGAGTGGAGCAGGACTGTCCCCGTGGCGCAATTGGCTAGCGCGATCGGCTGTTAACCGAAAGGTTGGAGGTTCGAGCCCTCCCGGGTGGGGTGTGTTGCTTTTTTCTTTGCGCTGATGGCTTTGAAGATATGTTCTGATGGTGGTGAGAGTGGAGCACGATTGTCTCCGTGGCGCAATTGGCTAGCGCGATCTGCTGTTAACCGAAATGTTGGAGGTTCGAGCCCACTCGGTGGTGGTGCGTCGCTTTTTTTTCTTTGGGGTGATAGCTCATAAGAAATGTTCTGACGGTGGTGAGAGTGGAGCAGGACTGTCTCCGTGGCGCAATTGGCTAGCGTGATCGGCTGTTATCCGAAAAGTTGGTAGTTCGAGCCCACCCGGTGGTGGTGCGGCGCTTTTTTTTTGGGGCTGATAGCTTTGAAGATATGTTCTGATGGTGGTGAGAGTGGAGCTGTATCGTGCTGGGTCATGCTGACCATGACTCATGATGCGCACTCCGGTGCGCACCGACCGATTATGCCTAATATAAGCGGCGACAATAAACCCGGCAAGGCATTGCTGCATCCTGCTTCATCGGTGACCGTCTCAGTCTTTGATCAGCCTACCTGGGTCTGATACATGTTGTCAGAAGTGGGATCGACGGCGGATGCTACCACATCGCTTCGCCGGTGCCGACAATCATGGAACTACTGAAGCCACCGGACCGACTATGCCTTACAGGAAATGTTCAGAAGAACTGGCAGCTTTTTAAACAAAAGTTCGAATTGTTTCTACAAGCAACAGAGCCAGCTACACGACTGACAGAAGCTGCTAGAACAGCCAGGCTCCTGACTGCTGCTGGGGACGACGCTTTAGAAGTCTTCAATAACTTTACATTCGCAGAAGGCGAGAACAAGCAAGACTACCAGACTGTGGTAAAGAAATTTGAAGAGTACTGTGCAGAGCAGCAAAACGAAGTCTACGAAAGATATGTAGACACTTTGGCAGCAGCAGCGGATCTCCGCGCTGCTGACACTTTGGCAGCAGCAGCGGATCTGCGCACAGCCTACTGAACCATTGCATATTGTTTTTACAGCGCATGTCGTCGGTGCACTGCCCCGTGTCAAGGGAAATACGGTGGTCATCGTGGGAGTGACTGCTGACCTTTCAAATAGCCTCGACGCATCGCCCCGTATCATATCAGGGCACGGCTGTGATCATCGTGGTCGTGTTTTTGTTGTGCCCCGCTGTGAGCGCCACCTGGATAGCTGTTCAGCTCGGAGCATCTCCGGGTGTACTGAACCACACTTTGGCAGCAGCAGCGGATCTGCGCACAGCCTACTGAACCATTGCATATTGTTTTTACAGGTACTAAAGTTCTTCACTGCTGTTGCTGTGGGTTCTTGACGGAACGTCCTAGCTGCTTTGGAGGTTGACATCGCTTTTCATCGCTGCGTGTGCTTTTTTCAACGCGCAGCGCATGTCGTCGGTGCACTGCCCCGTGTCAAGGGAAATACGGTGGTCATCGTGGGAGTGACTGCTGACCTTTCAAATAGCCTCGACGCATCGCCCCGTATCATATCAGGGCACGGCTGTGATCATCGTGGTCGTGTTTTTGTTGTGCCCCGCTGTGAGCGCCACCTGGATAGCTGTTCAGCTCGGAGCATCTCCGGGTGTACTGAACCACACTTTGGCAGCAGCAGCGGATCTGCGCACAGCCTACTGAACCATTGCATATTGTTTTTACAGGTACTAAAGTTCTTCACTGCTGTTGCTGTGGGTTCTTGACGGAACGTCCCAGCTGCTTTGGAGGTTGACATCGCTTTTCATCGCTGCGTGTGCTTTTTTCAACGCGCAGCGCATGTCGTCGGTGCACTGCCCCGTGTCAAGGGAAATACGGTGGTCATCGTGGGAGTGACTGCTGACCTTTCAAATAGCCTCGACGCATCGCCCCGTATCATATCAGGGCACGGCTGTGATCATCGTGGTCGTGTTTTTGTTGTGCCCCGCTGTGAGCGCCACCTGGATAGCTGTTCAGCTCGGAGCATCTCCGGGTGTACTGAACCACACTTTGGCAGCAGCAGCGGATCTGCGCACAGCCTACTGAACCATTGCATATTGTTTTTACAGGTCAGTACTATCGTTGTTTCTTTCCTTAGTGTTCTGTTGCTTTCTGCTGCTGCTGCTGCTGCTGCCATAGTGTTTTTAGTGTTTTTTGATGTCGCCAGCCGAAATGGAAAAACATTTTAAAGAGTTGAAACAAGAGTTTCGCGAAATGCGGACTGCCCTGGAGAGAGAGCTGCGTAAGGAAATACGTGATGTGAAAACAAGTCTAGACTTTTTTAATAAGCAGTTTGAAGAAATTTCGGCTCTGTGCTCGCGGCTTGAAAAAGAAAACGGTGAGCTAAAGGCTCAAAATGATGTTCTGAAGACTGATTGCAGTCAGCTGAAGCAGGTCGTTCTCAACAATGAACGTAGGACTACCGCCCTAGAACAGTACTCGCGAAACCGAAATATTGAAGTGAAAAATGTTCCTTTCGTGGAGGGTGAACGGTTGACCAGGGTCGTTCAGAAGATTGGTGAAGCTGTCGGCGAATCAGTGAAAGAAGATGACATAGAAATTTGCCATCGCGTGACTGCTAAGGATGCATCTTGCCCTCATATTGTTGTGCAGTTCAACAACCGGTCTAAGCGAGACGCAGTTCTGGAAAAGGCGAAAAAGTTGCGCTTAACGACAGCTGATATTGGTTTCCCAGGAAAGACATTTGTCTACGTCAATGAACACCTATGCTCACAGTTAAAAAAACTACTGGGACAAACTGTAGCGCGCAAGAAGGAAGCCGAATGGCGATTTGCCTGGACGAAAGGCGGCAAAATTTTTGCGCGAAAGGATGAGAAGTCGAGGGTGCTTCAGATAACTACTGAGAGCGATCTCGAAAAGATTGTTTAAATTTGTTGAGCTTCATCCTTTAGCAAAAAAAGCTAGAAGAAAAACAGGGCAAAAAGAAAATGGCTGCAGACTGCTTAACGCCACACCAGTTGAGCCTATTGGTATCTGGTAGAAAACACCACATTTCCTACCTTCATATAAATGCGCAATCAGCCAGAAACAAGGCAGATGAGATAGCAATACTGCTTGAATCGTTTGAGTTCTCCTTTGACGTCATCATGGTTACTGAAACCTGGTATCGCCATGAATCCGACGTTCTTCGTATACCTAGCTATGCCACGTATTTCTTGAACCGCAGTGATAAATTAGGTGGTGGTGTTATGCTCCTGGTCAAAGACGTGTTTGAGTGTGAAATACTCGAGGCTTTTTCTGTGGTTACTGACGATTACGAGATTATGACTGTAAAATGTTCTTCGGGTATTTTTTCTGTGGTATACCGCCCCCCCAAATGTAACATGTGCAACTTTTTTACGTTTTTAGACACTTTCCTGTCGTGGGTCAATGAAAATGGTTACAATCTTACTATCGAGGGTGACCTAAACATTGATATGCTAACTTCCAGCCCCCAACGTCTTGAACTTTGCAATATCATGGAATCAAACGCATTTAAAAATGTTATAAAACACCCCACTCGATTTCATGCCCAATCCTGAACACTTATCGACGTCATTATAACAAATAGCACAAGTGCACCTCTTTGCTCGGGTGTCCTTAAGACACATATTAGCGACCATTTGCCTGTTTACTCAATTTTAAGTCAAAAGAAGCTTCAACTTAGGGATGCAAAGCCACCGCCTACCCCATTCCGGTACATATGTCCTAGCACAATTGATATGTTCGCTGCATATATATCCAAGATAAAATGGGACGCTGTTTTCCGTGAAACTGATGCAGACACAGCGTATAATGTTTTCATCGAACGTTTTAGTGAAGCCTACAACAAGTGCTTTCCGCTCAAAGCAAAACGCAGACCACGCAAGGCAAGAAAGCCTTGGATTACTTCGGAATGCCTTCAAGCTATAAAAGTAAAAAATGCACTTTACCAGAAATTTCTAATATCTAGAGACAAAGAAGACTTGAAGACATTTAGAAAACATAGAAATACTACAAACTCCTTATTAAGGAAAAGCAAACTTGAATATTTTAGCAACCTTTTCAGCCCTGAAAAAACCAAAACGTCCGAAGCCATCTGGAAAAAGTTAAACATGTTGCTCCACCCACACTCGGATGATAGCACATACCCGACTAAACTCATTGTAGACAACCGCGTTCTAACTGGTGATGACCTTGCTGAAGCTTTCAATAAATTCTTTACCTCTATTGGAGAGAGCTCACACGACAATAATTTTGCGCGATTCATGGGTTCGCAAGTAGGCGAAAGTGCATTTCTATTTCCAGTGACTACACAGGAGGTTACGGCAGATTTCATGTCACTAAAGAATAGCAGGTGTTGTGACGTAGACGGCCTGGAAATCCGTCCAGTTAAGCATGTTATTCATGTCATATCTCCTATTTTAGAATACATCATTAACTTAATCTTCTCATTGGGCACGTTTCCTAGTCGTCTTCAGATAGCCAAAGTTTCTATTATTTTCAAAGGTGGTGACAAAAATAGCATGACCAATTACAGACCAATTTCTATTTTACCTGTATTTTCTAAAGTAATTGAAAAGTTGTTACATAAACGAATAGTGTCATTCTTAACCAAGCACCACATTATGACGCCTTTTCAATTTGGTTTCACAAAGCAGCGCTCAACAGAAACTGCCCTACTAATGCAAAAAGAAATCATACTCGATGCATTTGAAAAGGAAATATATACACTTGGAATTTTTGTAGATTTCTCAAAAGCATTTGACAGAATCAACCACATTACATTAATTAAAAAACTAGAACACTACGGTTTCGGGGGAACTTTATAAGTGTCATAAAAACCTATTTGAAATACCGACAGCAAAAAGTAGATATAAATGGCTACGCATCTAGTTTTAAAAAACTGTCACATGGCGTGCCCCAAGGAAGTATTCTGGGTCCCCTGCTTTTTAATCTGTATGTGAACGACTTGACAAACATCGATAACAATACAACATTTATTATTTATGCAGATGATACCAGCTTATTTTTTAAAGACTGCGATTTGCATAAACTAGTTGACAAAGCAAATAGTGTCTTGAAACTGCTGCACATTTGGAGCATAAGAAATTCGCTAATTATAAACACCTCAAAAACAAAATCTGTGCTCTTTCGTCCAATAAATAAGCCCGTAAACTGCGATTTATCATTAGTGATTGGCTCAGAATCTATAAGGATTGAACCGATAGTGAAAACTCTGGGAGTTTTTTTCCACGAAAACATGCTATGGAAGGATCAGCTGAGTTTGTCCATGCTAAACTTTCTCGTACTGTAGGTATCTTATCGCGCTTACGTTTTCTCTTGCCACAAAAAATTAAACTCTTACTATATAATTCGCTATTTTTATCTACATTAAGATATTGCTATCTAGTATGGGGCACCACATCGGAAAAGAACTTAGGCCGAATATATAGATTACAGAAAAAGGCTGTGCGCATAATTACAGGTGTTCCTCGCGATGAACATTCCAAACCCATTTTCGAAGCCCTTAATTTACAACCAATGCCTGAGATATACAATACAATTTTAATGAAGCGATATCGTACTTCCTTAAAGAATCACGACTCTTTTCTTACTGATTTAGCGCGTTTGACACCCTATACCTGCCCCTATAGCACACGAGCTACCGATGACTGGAAAATTCCTTACACACGTACTAACTATGGTCGCCAGATGATGAGCTACTTACTGCCACTAACCTTAAACAGTTTCTTACAATAAACCATTTATACTGCTCCGTTCTGTAAATGTTTTTCAACGTGTTAATAAAATGCAAATCGGCATGACCTTGAAGTACATGTTTTGATATTGTATAATGAAGCGGTATGAGCCTTTGGACAGAAGATGAAGAAGCGCGAGGGCCAGATTAAGATGGACGCCAGTTCCATACTGAAGCTTTAATGCTGTTCCGTTATTTAAGTAGGAACATTACATTATTTTGGCGCAGCCGGCCATCGAAGCCATCATGTGGGTGACGTTCTTCATAGACGAGACCTCCGAGGAGATCATCTTTTCGAAGTACCAAGTTCAAGACGAAGCAGCGGTAGACCTACCTCGTGAGCTCAGCTCGGAAGAACTCGTAAACCTGGTTGTGGAAAAGGCAGCCGTAGACACTACTGAACTACGACGGAAAGGTGCTGTGAAAGTGAACTTGCGTGTGGCGACCTTCAACGACCTAGTTCTTGAACCAGCGCGTCGAAAACACTCAGGATCACGATCTTCGACGGAAGAGGTGAGCCTCGTTTTGAAAGCTTTTCAGCTGCAACAGGAACAGATGCTTCAACAAAACCAAATAATGACATCTCTTATAAGCTCTCTGAATGCTGAGAGACCGACACCTAATTTCGTAGAACCTGATGCTTTCGACGGTGTGTCTTCAAATCCAGAAAGTTGGCTTGATTTCTACGAATATGCCGCTGGAAAAAACAAGTGGCTCTCTGATGAGGCTAAAATCACCAACATGCGCGTTTACTTGAGAGGTGTTGCGCGAAAGTGGTATGAAACATGCATTCTGGAAGACAGTGACGACTCTTGGAGCCAGTGGAGGAAAAAGTTTTTGACTGCATTCCGAAGCAATCCAGTAGAAAGATGGAACACGGCGCTTAATTTCAAGTCTGAGCAAAGCTGCCTTGTCGAGTACTTCTTGAGAAACGCCGTCTTTTAAAGCTGGCGGAGCCTTTGCTTCCATCTACGGCCGTAGTTGCCTTAATAATGCATGGATTGCACACTAACGTGTTGAAGCAAGTGCAAATACTGTCACCAAAGACTCTAGATGACCTCCTCGCGTGTCTTCAGAACATACCATCAGCTTCGGAAACAAGCATAACCGCCGAGTCAAGCAGCTGTTTCAGTCGGAGGTAAATCGGACTGGTCAAGCCACCAGAAGCGCATCACGCATCCAGGCGGGCTTCCAGCAGCTGTGACCGGCACCCGGCCCCTTCCGAAGATAACCGCCAACTTGGCAATGGGCGAAGAGAGTCGTTTCAGTGGCAGGAAGAAGCCTATCGTCGCCGAGAGGATCCTGGGAACGGTGAAGTGGTTTAATGTCAAGAACGGCTATGGCTTCATCAACCGCAACGACACTCACGAGGACATCTTCGTCCACCAGACGGCCATCACGCGCAACAACCCACAGAAGTTGCTGCGCAGCGTTGGCGAAGGTGAGACCGTCGAGTTTGACGTCGTGGTCGGCGATAAGGGCTGCGAGGCAGCCAATGTGACCGGACCCGATGGTGAGCCTGTTCAGGGTAGCCCGTACGCGGCCGACAGGCGCCCGTTCCGACCCCGCTGGATTCCACGTCGCAATCAACGAAGGCGCGGGCCGGCGTCAAGGCGTGGCCGAGGGGAAGATCGAAGGGAGGAAGCAGGAAACCGAGACTCATCGCGGTCACTGCCACCGCACCAGGACCAGAGCGACCCGGCTCCTAGACGGTGGATCATGGACGGCGTGGGGAGGCCCTACCCTTGGCGATACAACCAGCGTTTCAGAGGAGTGCCACGAGCACCTCCGCGAGCCCCACCACCGCCACCGCTTCCACCGCAGCGTTTCATTGTCGATGAGCCACGGCCAGCGTACGCCGAAGAGGAGGTTTTCAACGAACCCCCACCCCGGCGCCCTCCACGGCGGTTCCGTGGCCGCTACTTTCGTCGGCGACGTGGCCGCTCGCGAAGCAACATGGAAGCAGTAGGACAAAACGGCTCTGGTGGTGGCCGTTTTCAGAGCAACCTGGAAATGACAGGACGGAACAGCTCCGGAAGAAATCTCGAAGAAGGAGTACGGGGAGGTAACGGCGGAAGTGGCAACAGGAGCCAGGAGGACTTCCAGGACAGAGGGAGTGCCCCTTCGTGGCAACGACCTCCTCCGATGTACCGACACCCAAGGTCCCACCGACGCAGAACGAAGTCACCATCCAAGAAGGCCGGGGCCCGTAATCGACGCGAGAACGAGGCGAGCAGCGGCGGAGACTCATGGAGAGCGTGCAAAGCACTGAGAAGGAGCCTATTTCACCAGAAGAACCAGGACACTCGGCACCGACGGCTCCACCGCCGTCATCACCACCACCCGCCACCACACGACGGCTTTTGGCGTACCTACAACAAGTTGGTCAAGAGGTTTACGTGGCCTCACATGAAGAAAGACGTTAGTCAGTACGTTCGTTCATGCCATGTGTGTCAAGTACACAAAGTCAAGTATAAACAGCCTACGGACACCATGATACTACCTTGCCACGCGAACGTGCCTTTTGAAGTAGTTCACCTGGATTTCGCCGAACTTAACAAGAAACGGGAAGGAGTCAGAAAAACGCAAGCTTTTCTGCTGGCCATAGATGAATGCACCAGGATGGTCGCGGCACGAGCAGGAAAAGAAGATGCAAATAGTGTCATAACCCTTCCCGCTTTCTTTCCACAGTACGCTTCTACAGGAGAGACCCCTATTCTGCAGGCAGACCGTGAGTTGGGACTCTTGGAAAACCTCAAGATTGTCGAGGAGAGGCAACAAAAATCACAGGAGGAGAGTACCGAAAACGAATGAAAAGAATTTCGACAAGAGGCATCGAGCAGACATGCCAGACATTCAAGTCACCGACCTCGTACTAGTGAGAAAAGGAATAAGAGATTCCAGTGCCAAATTTTATGGGCCTTACTCTGTGACCAAGACAGCCACCCAGAACGGAATTTTGAAGACTGTCTGGTACACTGGTGAACGTGGATCTGTTGAATGTGCTTCAATTGGGAATGTCTTCAAGTATTACCCCAGGAGGGGTAATTAAAAGAAAGCGGGAAGGGTGAAGCGGTATGAGCCTTTGGACAGAAGATGAAGAAGCGCGAGGGCCGGGGCAGGAAGGAGAGGAGGATGAAGTGAAAAGAATAAAGCAGATTAAGATGGACGCCAGTTCCATACTGAAGCTTTAATGCTGTTCCGTTATTTTAAGTAGGAACATTACATATAATAACTGATGATCTCATGCTGCTGTTGCTGTTGCTATGTTGTCAAATGGTGCGAAAGCCTTCGTCAAGCCTTAATGGCTTTTGCTTTCGCCCCACAGCATCACTGTTGTGACTTTT